AAAAAGAATCACATGCCAGCCAGGCACCCCTGAAATCTACTTTTAATTCTGTTAGACAACATATGAATATGGATTTATACCACCGAAAAATTATCTAAATTGAAGACAATGTACGAAGGCCTTTAGATTTGGTTCAGTTCTGAAAAGGCATCAAATAATTTATACTAGTGTGAACTCCTCAGAATGTAAATAACGTTTGAAGTTTTTAAATTGTGACCCAAATGTTGCTCATATTCTGAGTTTACACTGTATTTTATGTAATATAAAAAAGGCTTTTATGGCTTCTGTCTACATACAATCAGAATACTCCTATTAAAGGACAATTAAGAAAATGTAGAGAATCCTTGTTCTTTATGCTTTATGTATAAAAACCTTCCAGAACCAATTACTATTAAATATGAGAAAAGTCATCACAGAGAAAACCTGTTAATCTAACATATGTGGAAAGCCACTTTACATATCTTAACTATCATGTCTGCTTTTCCATTTCTTACAGCCTATGTGATGCTCAGCAAGGCAGCTACCCCTCTGCACATCATATGGAAATGATAACAACCACCACATATATATCATAGTGCTGTTAGAATTACACGAGTCAGAATGTGTAGAAAACATGCACAACCATTTGGCATATATTCTATGTTCAATAAACATTAGTTACTATTATTGTTCAGATCAAAAAAACACTAATGTGCTCTGCTTCATAAGAACATTTAATATACAAGACATTTAAGTTAAAACAATTTACTGTTAATGTTTACTATAAAATTACTTATGTAAAATATTTTCTTAATTTTTAAACATTACTAATCATATTACAAAAGGAATCACCATGTAGCTTTTTAACACTTAAGTTTGTTCATCAGCAAAAATGGTAAAGAAATATGGAGCCAAATTACTCTAGAATAATCAGAACAAACGATAATAAAGCATCTAAAAAACAGGCAACATGGGGCGCCTGAGTGGCTCAGTTGGTTAAGCGTCTGACTCTTAATTTCAGCTCAGATCATGATCTCATGGTTCGTGGGTTTGAACCCTATGTCAGGCTCTGTGCTGGTAGTGCGAAGCCTGCTTGGAATTGTCTCCCTCTCTCTGCCTCTCTCTCTCTCAATAAATAAATACACATTTTTTAGAAATTATTATAAAAATGGGCAAGACAATACAGTATCTGAAAAATACATGCTTTTCAAGAAAGCATATCTGGCATGATGTTATTCATCAGGTAAGCTATATGAATTATCAATCCACTATCATCTAGAAGAGCCAAGCACATTTAGCTTTTCCAGAATTTTATAAAATTATGAAGAAAATATCGTCCTGGAGAGTTCCTGCCAAAACATTCCATTCCCTTCTACACTCTCCAATTACATTTATACTTCATTTGATGCCTTGAAACTTGCACATCATCATTTATTATAGGACTCTTAGGGGTTAGCTATTATTTGTAAGCTTTTAAAATAAACTTCTCTTGGGGCACCTGGGTGGCTCAGTCGGTTGAGCGGCCGACTTCGGCTCAGGTCATGATCTCGCAGTCCGTGAGTTCGAGCCCCACGTCGGGCTCTGTGCTGACAGCTCAGAGCCTGGAGCCTGTTTCAGATTCTGTGTCTCTCTCTCTCTCTGACCCTCCCCCGTTCATGCTCTGTCTCTCTCTGTCTCAAAAATAAATAAACATTTAAAAAAAAAAATAAAATAAAATAAAATAAACTTCTCTTAAAAGCCATTAGGCCTCATTACAACTCCCCTTCAGTATCACAGAGCAGAGAGTATTTGCCGCTTATGTCCACATTTACCAACCCCTTCCCTAGCCAATCTTATCCCAAACTATAGATGGGAACTCCCTGATGACAAATGATCTTGTTTATCAATGCAATCCCTGCCTCAATTCATTGCCTATCTTCAAGACATGTACATATTTCCCAAACCAAATCAAAGTACTAAATTAGCAAGCAAAACTGTTATATTTTATCAATCTTCTCATTAAAGCACACATTCTATAATATGGAAATGGTCAAAAAGTACTAACTGGATAATGACAGTATCAAGTTCTAGACCCGGTTCTGCCACAAACCAATTAAGTCACTTACATTCTGGAGCCTCAACTGTAATACTGGTGCAGTGGCAGAGGACCCACATGGCCTGATTTGAACAGTAAAATCCTAGTTTATACTCATCATTACTAATACACCCTCATCATAATACCCTCAGAGGCCTCCTACAAGCCTCTGGTCACAACATTTTTGTCAACCTATCACGCACATAATACACAACCTTGTGGTTATGTGTTTCCATTAAATGATATGTTGACACATTATTGTCTTCACAGCCAACTACACTCTAATTCATCCCTAAACAAAGCTTATCTAACAAACATTATTTTCTCCTTAAGGCTTATCTAACAAACATTCACACACAGTCTTCTTGGCCTCAGAACACTAGACAGCACTTCAGCACTTTGGCTCAAGGCCACTCTAAACAGCACATCACCAACAAAAAGCACAAAATGCAAAAAAAAAAAAAAAATTTGTGGTACTAAAATTACTGCAAAAGGACACTTGCTTATTTCATGAGTTGAAACTAGAAGACAGAACATCACCTTTTTGGACCTCAGGTGAGACTGTGTCCATTAACTCAAAATTTTTGCCACTATGGAACATGTCTACAAATGACTATGAAAACACCACAAGTATTGATATTAGAGGTATAAATAAATTTTAGTTAAGTAGGTGTATCTGCAAATAGAGAATCCATTTACAATTAAGATCAACTGTAACTGAACTTACCAATTTAAGTCCTGTAAAAAGATACTTGACTTCTTGATTGATAAAACAGCTAAGCTGAAGCTGATTTTCCTTCCCTTTAGTGACTTCTTCTTCTTCAGATTCTGTACATTTCATGCTTGAGAAATAAGATAAGGAATATACCAACAGGCATTCACTTTGTTACATATTCCTGAATATAATAAATTATCCTAATGCTATTAAAATTAATAGCATCACTATTTGCAAATGACAAATCCGATAAAGGGTTAGTATCCAAAACATATGAAGAACTTATACAACACCAAAAAATAATAATAATTCAATTAAAAATGGGCAGAAGACATAGACATTTCTCCAAAGCAGATATACAGACAGCCAACACATGAAAAGATGTTCAGCATCACTAATCATCAGGAGAATGCAAATCAAACCCACAATATCACCTCACATCTGTCAGAATGGCTAAAATGACAAATGCTGGCAAGAATGTGAAGAAAAAGGAACTCTCATGAACTGCTGGTGGAAATGCAAACAGGTGCAGCCACTGTGGAACACTGTACAGAAAACCATATGATCCAGGAATTCCATTACTAGGTATTTATCCACAGAATATGGAAACGCTAATTTGAAAAGACATATAGGCACCCCCATGTTTATTGCATTATTTACAATAGCCAAATTATGGAAACAGCCCAAGTGTCCGTTGATGGATGAATGGATAAAGATGTGTTATATATACACAATGGAATATTATTCAGCCACAAAAAAAAAAAAAAGACTGATATCTTGCAATCTGCAACAACGTGAATGGAGCTAGAGGGTATTACGTTAAGTGAAGTCAGTCAGAAAAAGACACATACTGTATGATTTCACTCGTGGAATTTAAGAAACAAAATCAAATGAACAAAGAGACAAACCAAGAAACAGACTCTTCTTAGCTATAGAGAACAAACTGATGGTTACTAGAGGGGAGGTGGGTGAAACAGGAAAATGAGCACTGAGTAATGTGTAGAACTGCTGAATCACTTTATTATACACTTAAAACTAATATAACATTGTATGTTATAACTATACTGGAATTTAAAAAAAAAATAGCATCATACACTGGTATTTAAAACATTTTGGTTTCCAAGTAGATTCATTTCAACATACTTAAAAGTGCTCCATTCACTTACCAACAATATGAGTAATGAGTGTATACAAGGATAAACTCTCAACAAATATACATTGGTACTCATAGTATTGAATGGTTTTAACACTAAGGTACATAAACAGAAATCATTAAGTTTCTACCCATGACCTAGAAAATAGGCCTTCCCTAAATTCATGAATTCATGTTTTATTGGCTCAATCTCATGTATACAATTTGGCTGATACATTGTTTCATACAATTAAAAAATTCATTCCCTATGAAGCAAAAAAAAAAAAAAAATTCTCTATGAAGTGAATTAATGAGGTTGACTCCGCTAAAGATATACTTAGGAAAAAATAATGAATATCCTTATTAAAGTATATACTTACCTAAACATTAGGATTACTCTAATGGGGATATTTTTCCAAATTCCTAAGTTTCACCATATTTTTCAGGCATAAAGCCTCTGAAGAATTTTTCTTCATACCCCACCCGCCACTCCAATCAGTCAACAATGCTTCTGATACCCATCTACTTCTAGTAAGTTATGAGTACAGCCTCTACAAATCTTGGCTCATAAGGATACGTAGTTTCAAACTCAACTCCAAAGAACTGATCAATTAAGCTTTTCTTTTTAGAAGGTGTCACTGCTGATGCAGATGAAGAATCTGTCTGCAAAAATTAAAACAAAAATTCCAAATTTACTTTATATAGATACTAGTGTGTATTTCTTCCCACATAACCCAATTTAGTAAATACATATTTAAGCTTTTTAAAATGTAAGCCCCTTCTGTAAAATCCTTCTATTCAAAAAACATCACCAAAAAACTACAGATGCTCAATAATATCTTCTATGTTTAATAAATAATACGCTGAATTCAAGTGTCAAATGCAAGCTTTCAAATTCCAACTACAGACTGAGCATGTTAAAGTATTCAAGTACATGTGTATCTATTAAGATGAATTTATTTCAAGCCTTTGGGATTGGTGAGTAGGGGGAAATCAAGGTATAATGGAAGTCTATAAGCACAAATAGATTTCAGTCACCTCTTTAACAGAATCGTCTTCTATAGCTTCCAATTTCTGTTGCAATACTCGCATCATTTGTATCCAACATTCATTAGCATCCTGTAATTTAAAAATGACACAGTAAATAATCCTGGCTGTGACAGTGTTTTACCTATAAGAGTCTTCCAAAAGAAGTACTGTTTCCTTAGGGAAGGGGAATAAAGCGATTTTTTTTATTTAAAAATATTAAGTCAAATGAGATATTATATGATCTTCAAAGCAAAGAATTCCAGAACATTCATTCATTCAAGAGAGGTTCACTGATCTCTTCCTTATGCTAAACACTGTTTTAGACACTAAGAATAAACACAGCCGTGACCAAAACAGAAGACGTTCTCAAGGGGGATATAAATAAAATATAACATAAATTCACCTAAAGAGAAGTTATGAAGAAGAAAAAAAATATGGGAGCAGAAAGTGATGAGGTGAAAGGAAGTGTGCTATTTCAATAGGATAGTCAAGAAAGCTTCTCTGATGCCTTGACATTTGAGCCAGAAGACCCAAACGATATGAGGAAGCAAGCCATGCACTTATCTGTAAGCGAAAGAAAGAAGAGCAAAGACCCTGCAGAAAGAGGGTATGTGGAGGGTTTAAAAAATAGCAAGGAAGCCAGTGAGTGTACAGGAGAGCCAAAGTAAGCAAGGGTGAGAGTGGTACATGATGAGCTCAGGGAGGTAGCCAGGAATAAGATTATTCAGCACTGGGATAGAAAATCACTAAGAGGCAATCAACAAGGGACCAAGGATTATTCCTTAGTAACAGTTTAAGGACTCTAAAAGGTTGTGTGGAGAAACCCGCAAAAAGACAGACAAAAGCAGAAGTGAGATGATCAATTACCAGACCACTCCAGGCAAAAGATAATGATAGTATGAACCACAGAGGACTGATAACTGGAGTGTATTTGGAAATGCAAATACATATGGTAAGTGTATAACACCTAAGTTTTACATTTACACAATGAAAACCCCAGAACCTTGCCCTGTTTACCTGTTGAAGATACTGTCCTTGTTCACCCTTCTCCGCAAACTGTGGGAAAGCCATGTGTAAAAACTGCAGTAGGATAATAGGTGGAATACTAGAAGACGTTTTATCCATGGAATCAAACAAATCTCTAAGGGCTTAAAAAGCAAAGCAAACACTGCTTTAGTAAAACAGTGACACATTTAATACATGTTACTATAAATTAATTCTAGATTAATACAAACACAAAACTGCTGAGTACTTTTAAGTATATCTACTCTTTTTGTAGTTTTCAGATTCCCAATAAGAAAAAGATTTGTTTTTAAATCTTAAAGAATTGACCCGAAGACTTTATAATGCACTAACTATAAACAACTTCTGAGCCCTGCCCCTCTGTCTCTCTCTCCTTGCCAGCCTTTGTCTTCCAAAACAAAGCACGGTATATTCATTCAACACTGAGAACACATAACCTTTGTCTAGGGATCAAACAGGCTGATGTTACTGTTTTGGTACTATGCCACTGTCAGGCCACCACTCCCAACCGACCTCCCCTTAAGCCCATACTTAGTTCCCAACTACTCAACTCCTAAATATTAAATAAAATATGTTTAACATACATCCTAACTCTACTGAATAGTTAAGAACCAAAACTAATTTGCCTTCTTCAAAATCTTTCCTCTGCTATCCTCTTTCACTTTCATAAAATCTCATGGTCATGGCAGACTGAGCCCTGCTCTGGGAGTTCAGAATACTCCTGCTCTGCCGACTCCCTGGCTATCATACCTTGCCCTTCTTACTTCATGTACAGCAAAATGCTAGTCTAGCCTATCTTGACTCGTTTTGTTAAAGAACATGTGAAATGTTATCTACCATTAGTATATACAAACCGAAGCCCAGAAAATACTAAGCACAAAGCCAGTGTGCAATAAAATGTTCCCGAATAAAACAACGTGGTGTTTAAAAATGTTTTTCCAAGAGACAGCAAAAATTAATTACTACCAAGCTAATGATTTTTAAAAGAAAAAATCTAAATTATAGCACACTTTAATAAAGTACACATTACTCAAAATAAACAATGGTTTAAAATTTAATATATACCATAAACAGAGCATCTCAAAATATTTCACTAGTTTGAAAGAAAAAGATCAAAAATGCACTATACATTAAAAGAGACTAGTAAAACATGAAAATTGAATACAATGTATGATCCCAAACTGGCTCCCAAAGCAAAGAACTTTATAATGGCAATACTGGATCAACTGCCGAAATTTAAGTAATCTGTATTTTAGAGTACTTCATCCATGTTAAACCCCTAGATTTTGAAAAATGGTAATTGTCTTGTGATTATGAATGTCCTTATTCTTGGGAAATACATACTGAAGTATTCAGGAATAAACTGTGATGTCTATACCTTACTCTTGAAGGTTCAAAAAAAAAAAAAAAAAAAACACAACAAGCAAAAAAAAAAACATGGTTACAGAGAATGATGAGCCAGGTATCTAGGTAGGACAAAAAGTTAATAATTGGTGAATTCTTGTAACTATTCTGTAAATTTAAATTTAGCACAAAACAGGGGTGCCTGGGTGGCTCAGTCAGTTAAGCATCTGACTCTTGGTTTCAGCTCAGGTCATGATCTCACATTTCATGGGTTCGAGCCCCATATCGGGCTCTGTGCTGACAGTGAGGAGCCTGCTTGGGCTTCTCACTCCCTCCTCTCTCTCTGGCCCTCCCCCGCTCACACACTCTCTTTCTCAAAATAAATAAATAAACATTTAAAAAAATTAGCACAGGGGCACCTGGTGGCTCAGGTGGTTAAGCGCCTGATATTGGCTCAGGTCATGATCTCGTGGCTCTGAGTCTGAGCCCTGTGTCAGGCTCTGCGCTAACATGTTATAGCCTGGAGCCTGCTTCAGAATCTTTGTCTCCCTCTCTCTCTGCCCCTCCCCTGCACACACTCGGTCTCTTTTAAAAACAAACATTTAAAAAAATTAGCACAAAATAAAATTTAAAAATGAAAAACAGTATCTTTTCATCTCCTCAATACTACAAGCCTCTTAGAGGATACTGGAGAAGTTGCTGAAATTCCAAGTTACTCTTAGATACAAAAGCAAACAAGTAAACTAGATATAAATGATCAGATTTTTCTCATTAAAAACTTCCAATAAATCTTTCAGGAAAAAAATGGTCAAAGGAAAAACCTCTAACTACAAATGACACAAAGAAACATACTGTTTTTATAGTATTACAAATTAACAGCTGACCACAATGAGATACCACTTCACACCCCTAGGCTAGCTATAATCAAAAACAGACAATACCAAGTATTATCAACAATACAGAGAAATGGGAACCCTTATTCATGCTGGGAGAAATATAAAATGATGCAGCTGCTTTGGAAAACAGTCTGGCATTCCTCAAAAGGTTAAAGTATAGTTACCATACGACCCAGCAATTCCACTCACAGATATATACCCAAGAGAAATAAAAACATGTCCACAGAAATCCTTGAACAAGTTTTTAGCAATACTTACAATAGCAATACTACAATAGTCAAAAGTGGAAACCACCCAAATGTCTATCATTGATAAAAGGACAAAGGAAATACAATATATGCCTACAACAACATCTTTTTCAGCAATAAGGAATCAAGCACTCATACATACTACAATCTGGATGAACCTTGAAAATAGTGAAAGAAGCCACTCTAAAAAGACCACATACTGTAAGTTCCATTTTTGTCAAAAGTCCAGAATAGGCAAATTTATGGAGACTGACAGTAGGTGAGTGGCTGTACAGGGCTGGGGGTGGAGACCAGAAAACAGGGTGACTGCGAAAGGTTACAGAGTTTCTTTTTCAAAGCGATGAAATGTTCTAAAATGGGCCTGTGGTGATGGCTGCACAACCCTGAGTATACTAAAAGACAATGAATTGTGCACTTTAAGTGCATAAATTATATGGAATGGGAATTGTATCTAGTTAAAGCTGTTACAAACAAAAAGGCACAGCCGTAAGAATACCTTATCAATCTAACCCAATGACTTAAAGTATTCACTTGTAAAACTTGTAAAAGTATTCACTTGTAAAGTATCCCAAAATGAATGGGGACAGAATACATGGTCTCATGTAGTGAAGAAATGTTATTCCCATGCTTTAAGAATTTGTTTCTCCTCATATTTCATATACCATTTCCTTACACTAGACTCTCTTGTAATGACTGCATCAACTATAATAAAACCTACCTCTTGCTATCCTCAGAGATAGGTCTTACTAATAGAACCTAAAGCCAAAATTAAATTTAATCCAAAAAACCGAAAGACTCTTAGTGAGAAAAGACAGACATCAAAGGTTTATAATTTGGATAATAAAATAAAATGTAAGTATAAGTACTCCGATTTTAATGAGACGAGGTTTTACAAAACAATTTTTTAAATTGAAAGCTACTAAATAAACTGAGTGAAAAATAACTTATTGAATACTACACTGCCCTCTCAAAAAAGGAGTTTTAAGATACTGACCTGCAGTAATGTACTGTGCTGAAGCCATTTCCCCTGAAGCTCTCAAGGCACCTGCATACCTAGGAACATTAGGCAGAATTAAATAGGATTCGATTCATTCTGAAACTCAAATGAGAAGAAACTAGTTAAAAGAGCTTATGACACCTTCAACTGCAAATTTATCAGTTGTTCCCACCTTTATATTTCCTCCTCTTTTGGTCTTGTTACATTAACAATTATATGTACAAAAAGAAACACTAAGAAAAAAGGGAATTTAGGGGTGCCTGGGTGGCTCAGTCGGTTGAGCCTCTCTGACTCTTGGTTTTGGCTCAGGTCATGATCTCACGGTTCATGATATCGAGCCCTCCACCAGGCTCTGCGCTGACAGCATAGAGCCTGCTTGGGATTCTCTCTCTCCCCCTCTCCCTGCCCCTCCCCTATGCACTGCTCCCAAAATAAACGTTTCAAAAAGGGAAAAAAAGGGGTGCCCGTGTGGCTCATTGAGTTAAGCATCTGACTTCAGCTCCAGTCATGCTCTCATAGTTTGTGGGTTCAAGACCCACGTCAGGCTCTCTGCTGACCTCTCAGAGCCTGGAGCCTGCTTCAGATTCTGTGTCTCCTTTCTCTGCCCCTCCCCTCAGCTCATGCTCTTATCTCTATCTCAAAAATAAAAAAAATAAAAAAACTTTTTTTAATGTTTGTTTTAAATTTTTTTTTTTCAACGTTTTTTATTTATTTTTGGGACAGAGAGAGACAGAGCATGAACGGGGGAGGGGCAGAGAGAGAGAGGGAGACACAGAATCGGAAACAGGCTCCAGGCTCTGAGCCATCAGCCCAGAGCCCGACGCGGGGCTCGAACCCACGGAGCGCGAGATCGTGACCTGGCTGAAGTCGGACGCTTAACCGACTGCACCACCCAGGCGCCCCTTAATGTTTGTTTTAAAGAAAAAAAGAATTAGATGAATGAAGACTACTTTTAAATTCTTTCTCTTAACACTTTGTTTATTTATTTATTTATTTTAATGTTTATTTCTGAGACAGAGAGAGAGACAAAGCATGAGCAGGGGAGGGGCAGACAGAGAGGGAGACCCAGAATCCAAAGCAGGCTCCAGGTTCTCAGCTGCCAGCACAGAGCCCAATGCGGGGTTTGAACTCACAAACTGTGAGATCATGAACTGAGCAGAAGTCCAGTGCTTAACCAACGGAGCCACCCAGGCGCCCCTCCCTGCCAACAATTACTTTTAAAAAAAACATTTCCCGGGGCACCTAGTGGCTCAGTCCGTTAAGCAACCAACTCTTAGTTTTGGCTCAGCTCATGATCTCACATTTTGTGAGTTTTGAGCCCCACGTTGAGCTCAGCGTTGACAGTGCAGAGCCTGCTTGGAATTCTCTCCTCTATCTCAAAATAAATAAACTTAAAAAATTTAAAAAAAAATTTCCTGAAAACACTGCAAAACAAAAAAGTACACGTGTAATATCCATTACAAAGAAAATAAAACACAATTTCAGAAATAACAAAGAAAAAAAAGCATTACATCAAAAACATTAAATCAAAGTCAATATACCTACATTCAGCATTAACTTTCTATGTAACAATAAATAAGTCCCTTTAATTTTCAAGTCTGTCTGCTTACCTATAAAAGGAGGTGTTTCTATTAAATAATTTCTAAATTCACTTTCAATTTATAATTCTCAGTTAATTTATAACAGCACAAAGGACTGGCCATTTAAAGGAAATAAACTAGTATTTATTCATACATCTTATGACACAGAATCAGAAATGATCATTCATATATCAAACACCGAGGGGCAAGAGAATGACTGCCTATTCACTATGATTAAAACTATGTTCATGTACCACACACCCACTGAAGGGACTAAAATGAAAAAGAATGATATCAACCAAGATTGGCAAGAATGTAGAGCCATAAGAACTATCAATACCATCAGTAACATGGATGAATTTCAAAAACTATGCTAACTAAACTAAGCCAAACCAAAAATACATTCTGTACATTTAAGTTCCTGAATGCACAAAACTAATATGAGATCAGTAGCTGCTTGCAGAGTTGGGTAGTGGGTGGGAATGAGGACTAGGAAAAGGTAGAAATATAAAAACTTCCTGGGATGAGGGAAATGTTCTGTAATTTGTAAAATGGGTTACAGATATTTGCATTTATCAAAACTGATCACACCAAACACAAGATATTTACTCGATGTAAATTACATTTCTATTTAAAAATAAAAAAAAAACTTTGGGGCACCTGGGTCTCTCATTCAGTTGACCCATCTGACTTGATTTTGGCTGATCCCAGGGTTATGGGATCAAGTCCTGTGTCAGGCTCCATGCTGAACATGGAGACTGATTAAGATTTTTCCTTTCTTTCTTTCTTTTTCTTTCTTTCTCTCTCTATCTCCACCCCCTCTGCCCCCTCCCATGCTCGTGTGCGTACTTTCTCTAAAATAAAAAAATAAAGTAAAAAAATTTCTGTGCTTATGTAAACAATCAAAGAGGTCACAGACCTCTTATAATGTCAAATTATATCCAACTGAAAAGTTGTTAATTTAGATATTTTGGAAATTGCTATGACTCAAGTTTTTAAGTTTGTCAGTACACAATTCATAACAATGTCTAAATTATATATATTCATTTTAAAAAGTGAAAATCATAATAGCTTCCCTCTTAGTTTGTAACTTCTTAAAAAACACTTCTGAAGTTAAAATAATGTACTAATAAAGCAAGTGTATCCCAAAACATCAGTCAAGTTTATAAACAACATGTTGTTAGTGATTTTACTTCTAGTTACAGGACAACATTGCTAACTATCCCTACATTTATGGCAAAGGCTATACTAATGAATTATCTTTTAAGTCACTAAGAATAGGAAAAGCATAATTTAATACTATCTCCCCACACAAACCTCTCATTATACCAAAAAATAAAAATAAAATTTTTTTTTGATGTTTATTTATTTTTGAGAGAGAGACAAAGCATGAGCATGAGCAGAGGAGGGACAGAGAGAGCGAGACACAAAATCTGAGGCGGGCTCCAGCCTCTGAGCTGTCAGCACAGAGCCCGATGTGGGGCTAGAACTCATGAACCATGAGATCATGACCTAAGCTGAAGTCAGACACTTAATGGACTGAGCCACCCAGGTGCCCTACCAAGAAAACGTTTAATTCCTAATTAAGGTAAAACCATCCAATAAGCCAAATAACATTAACAGTTGAACTTTACAAAGAAAAACTGTTAGAAAATAAAAGGAAAACCTGACAAGAGTACAGAGAGATGTAACAGAAACACTAAGAGGTTTTATAGAAGATAAAAAATAAAAGAGTACCTTTTCTAAGAAAGTCTTTACCAAGTCAATAAATTAAAAAAAAACAACAAATGAGGGGTGCCTGGGCGGCTCAGCCAGTTAAGTGTCCGACTTCAGCTCAGGTCATGATCTCGCGGTTTGTGGGTTCCAGCCCTGCCTCGGGCTCTGTGCTGACAGTTTAGAGCCTGAAGCCTGCTTCAGATTCTGTGTCTCCCTCTCTCTCTGCCCCTCCCCTGCTCACGCTCTGTCTCTGTCTTTCAATAATAAATAAACGTTAAAAAAAATTTTTAAAAAAACACTACATGATATAGAAAATCCAAATGTAATTAATAAGCTTTAGTCTATTATACTTTGTACTTTATCACCTACAAAAAAAAAAAAAAAAAAAAAAAAAAAAAAAAAAAAGACATTTTGACTTTTCTATCATCTGTGATATACAAGAATCAATCATACATCAGCTAACCCCAAACATTCATCAACAGAAAAATAGATATTGTGTAGTAGATCCATACAGTGGCATAGTACACAGCATGAACATCATAAACTACAACTACACACACAAGGTTAAGCCAAACTAATGAGCCAGACCCAAATGAACACAATCCATGTTTCTGCTTATAAAGAGTTCCAAATAGGCAAAGTTAATCCATGAGGTTAGAAGTCACATTATCATTAACTATTCTGAACACAAAGTAGAGGCAGCCATCAGGAAGGGAGAGTCACGAGGGAATATTTAGAGGCTGATGGGATTCTGTTTGTCTGTGTTGGTTACACAGATGTGTTCATGGAGATAATTCATTCATATACTTTTCTGTATGTTAAAATTTAATAGTTATAAATGAATTCAGAGTCAAAAGGAAGATTTTATAGTTTTTTTTTTTCAAAAACATGTGAACAGCCTCATCTAATGGAGAACAGCAACCAAAACTCAGAACTAAATACCATACTGTCATTACTACACAAGAATAAATGATCTAAGCGTACAACTTAAGAAATCAGAAAATAAAACAAGCCAAAGGAAAATAAAAATAAGTTAATACAAAGAAAAGTAGGATGAATCAGACAATCAAAAAAAGTGACTGAATAAATCTAACAGCTGATTCTTTGAAAAATAAAATATACAAACCTCTGGCAAGATAATCAAGGGAAAAAATACATAACAAATAAAAATGAAAATGAGGGGAAATACAGGTCCAAAAATAGATAATTCTTATGCTAAAATATCTTAAAGACATAAGGACAAATTCATAGGAAAACATAAATTACCAAAACTTACCCAAAAGACACAGAAAATGTACATTTAAAATGCCCCCCCCCCAAAAAAAAAGGTTTGGTCCAGCCAATTTTATAGTTAAGTTCTATTAAGAATAGATCATTCCTGGGGCCCCTGGGTGGCTCAGTCGGTTGAGCATCCGACTTCGGCTCAGGTCATGATCTCATGATTCACGAGTTTGAGCCCCACGTTGGGCTCTGTGCTGACGGCTCGGGACCTGGAGCCTGCTTCAGATTCTCTGTCTCCCTCTCTCTCTGCTCCTCCCCTGCTCACACTCTCTTTCTCAAAAATATTTTAAAAATTTAAAAAAAAGAATAGGCCATTCCTATACAACTTTGAAAATGTAAGTAAAATATAAGTAAAATAACAACCTAGTAACTGCTAATGAAAAAAAACTATGTGGTACTTACCAAGACATGTCTTGCCAATCTCCAGTAAGATAAAAATATGGCCATGAGATACAGTCTTTTGTAAGTAACTCATAGAATTTAAGAGTAATTTTTTATATTATACTTTTCACTTTAAGTTCTAAATTTAGAATTCCTACTTATCATGAGGTTCCACTAATGAGCAGCATCAAGCAAACTAGGTTCTACCTGTAGCTCTGGTTCTTGGCCCTCATTGCCTCTTCAACTAACCCAGTCTATTTCCCTTCTAGCCTTTAGCAATATATACTTCTCACTCCCCAGAATCTGCCAAATAAAAATTCTTAAGAATTTAAGGATGAGCTTCAGACTGCCAGTTTTAAAACACCTCCCATGGAAGTTTCTCTCTCTTCTTTCATTCCTATTTTATCACTGAGTGCCATTTTTCCAAAGACATACAACCCCATCCATGTCCTCTTGTAGTAAATTAGTTAAGTACAAAGGCTTCTGACCTGTAAAAACTTAGCATTCAAAAAGTATTTCATCTGGTCAAGAAAACTGAAATCAACAGAATGAAATCTCCCCTGCTTATATAAAACTCAGAGAAATAACCCCAAAACATGAAGGACTTCTTGGAATAGAGCCTGGAAGATATCCGAGATGAACAAAATACAAAGAAGTCTTGGAAGTAAGACAAGTCTGCTCCCAGTAGCCAGTTTTTAGGGCAGAGAGCTGTCCAATAAGCTGCTCATTCAGCTCATTTGCAAATGAAACATAAGCAAGAGAACATGGGTGCATAAGATAACTACACAATCTCAACACAAACGAGAAATCAATCCTTACATCTAAGGAAAACAGAGTTTAAATTAAAAAGGTCCAAACAAGGCGGGGAAAAAGACCTTGAAATAAGAATACTTCAGAGCCTCGAAGAAAGAAAAGCAGAATTCGTATCCAAAATTAAGAACATGAGATTAAAGAAAAGAAAGTTGTGATAAGCAACTGTGAAACAAAGCTAATGCATAAATCAGTGAAATGTAAACTAGAACTGAGGCACTCTCCCAGAAGACAGCACATAAAATAAAAAATCAGAAGTGCAGAAAAAAAAAAAGAGACATGAAAAACAGATCCAGAAACTATTATTCTAAATATAAGGGAAGCCAGATAAAACAAAGGAGAAATTATCTGAAGAAATAACAGCCAAGAATGTCCAAAGTTTAGGACAAGAGTCCTTACACTAAAAGTGCTCACTCAGCACTAAATAAGGTAAATAAAACCCCACACCTACCCTATTAGAAAACTCTGAAAAACAAAAAGAAAACCTTAAAAATTATTAACAGAAAAGAGTAAGAAATGAGACTGATATTAGATCTCTCATATCTGTGGGCACACAAAAATAGTGGAAAAGTAACTACAAACCTCTGGGGAAAAAGCACTCTGACTTTAACATTTCCCATCAAAGCAGTTCTGACACAGTACCAAACATGGCAGCCTTTCTCAATCAAGACTCTAAGTGTCTGGAAGATAGGTACTATGTCTTGTTCACTAATGACTACACCAGCTATAAGCTAGACAACTTCATAAATACCTGACAAGTATTCACTTCAGAGAAATTTAGAAAACCTTCTGTTACTCTCAGGTTTCTGTATAATCCTCTCTCCTCTCTATTGCCCAGTTCTATCAAAGCATTTCACATGCCACTAAGGAAAAAAGAAGAAGAAGAAAAAAAAAAAAAAAATCAACATTCATAAAGCTGGCTAAGAATTCAAATTGCAATTTAGAATTCTATCCTACATTAACAAGCGGCAACGTATATACCAAGACAGTTGTAATAAATTTAGTGAGAATTAAGTGACATATTTTTTAAGTTATACATTTATATTCACTGAGGAGAAAGGATCTTCATTTAAAGACTATTTCACAGGTTGTCAAAACACAGGTAACTGTTTACTCTTTTTTCTTTTGTATAGTGGTATAAAAATTATTCACCAGCATAAGGACAAATCAATACAAATAAAGGTATTTATTTCTAGACTAGAACTGAGAGTTCTGAAATAAATCTTATTACATACATCATGGTCAACTGATTTTCAATAAAGGTGCTAGAGCAATTCATCAAGGAAAGAGTCTTCAGCAAATGAAACTCAAAAAACAGGATATCCATTTGCACAAGAATGAGATATCAACTTCCCACCATACATAAAAATTAACTAAAAATAGATTAGAGACCTAAATTTAAGAGTTAAAATTATGAAGCTCTTAAAATATAGGATTAAATATTTGTGACCTAGGATGAGGCAACTGTTTCATATGTAAGATACACACACACACACACACACAAAATTAAACTACATCAAAATTAAAACCTCTTGTGTTACAAAACAGTAACATCAAGAAAGTGAAGACAACTCACAAAATGAAAGAAAATATCTGCAAATTATCTGAAAAAGGACTTACATCCAGAACATGTAACTTACACACTTGTAACTGAACAATCAAAAGACAAACCATTTAAAACACAGGCAAAGGGGGCACCTGGGTTGAGTGTCCAACTCAGCTCAGGTCATGATCTCGCTATTTGTGAGCCTCATGTGAGGCTCAATGCTGTCAGCACAGAGCCAGCTTCAGATCTTCTGTCTCCCTCTCTCTCTGCCCCTCCCCTACCCACACGCACACATGCACTCTCTCTCAAAAATAAACATTTAAAAAAAAAGATTAGAGTTAAAAAAAATAAAACACAGGCAAAGAATTTGAACAGACGTTTCTCCAAAGAAGATATACAAGCCAATAAATACATGAAAAGATGATCATCACTAGTCATTAGGTAATTACAAACAACAACTACAATGAGATACCATTTTACATTTAGGATGACTATAATCAAAGACATTTGAATAAAAAGACTGGCATGGAGGTGGAGAAATTGGAACTCTCTTACACTGCTGGTCAGAAGAGAAAATGGTGCCAAGCAGTTTGGCAATTCCACAAAATGCTGTTAACAAAGAGTTACTACATGACCAAGTAATCCACTCATAATCAAAAGAAATGAAAACTGGTCTGCACAACAACTTCTCCCTGAATGTTCATGGTAGGTAACATTATTCTAACAGCCTCAAAATGGAAACTAATCAAATGTTTATCAACAGATGAACAGATTAACGTAATATGGTATGTCCATAGAGCTGAATATTCAGCCATAAAAAGGAATGAAGTACTGACATATACTACAACATGAATAAACCCAGAAAATATATTATGCTAAGTAAAAGAAACCAGTCACAAAAAATTACTTACTGTATGATTCCATTTATATCAAATGTCCAGAATAGGCAAATGGATAATACAGAAAGTAGATAAATGGTTGCCTAGAGCTGGAGGTGGGAAAGGTAAAAGGAGTGACTGCTCAGGAATAGGTTTCTTTCAGGAAGGAAGAAAGTAATCTAAAATTAGACTGTGATAATGGCTGTACAATCTTGTGAATATAATAAAGACCATTTAATCAAATACTTTAAACAGATGAATTGTACAATAAATGAGCATCTCAAATAAAGCTGCTAAAAAAACTATACACACAATGATACACTAAACACTACTCACCCAAATGTGAACCTCCCTTACCTACCAACAGGATTACAGCATTTCTCTTCTGTCTTACCTTTTTTTTAAATTTTTTTTTTTCAACGTTTATTTATTTTTGGGACAGAGAGAGACAGAGCATGAACGGGGGAGGGGCACAGAGAGAGGGAGACACAGAATCGGAAACAGGCTCCAGGCTCTGAGCCATCAGCCCAGAGCCCGACGCGGGGCTCGAACTCACGGACCGCGAGATCGTGACCTGGCTGAAGTCGGACGCCAACCGACTGCGCCACCCAGGCGCCCCCTTTCTGTCTTACCTTTTAAGGGCATCTTTGAGTTCAGGCACGGAACGAATACACTGAACTGTGGCATTCATGTAACAAGTGTTACCAAGGTTTGTCAATCCACATGGCAATTCCATCTGATAAAGAAAAGGATTAATTCATTTTTATAAAATGACATAGCATGTATAAAATCCCTAAAATTTACACTTTGAAGTACAATTTACCAACTCATACCAATTTATATTCCACCTTCACCCGGAAGTAACAATGTCTTATATCCCACAATAGAAATGTGTACTTGCAACATGCTAATACTGTGTTTTTAACTCCCTTCTTGAAAATAATAAGAGAACAATCCTACCCGTCTTGCCCACCTTTGCAGGCTTATCATTAGAATGGGGTAACAAAGTATACATAGAAACACTTCAAAAAAAGAAAAAAATAACACTATAAAAATGCTCAATGATAAAAAAATAACATTTGACAAGTTTGTGTTAACCAGTTTTTTTAAAACAATATTGCAATTTAGGATACATTGTATGTATTTTCAACAAGGAAAATTTTAAGAATTTAAACAATCCAGCATTTAAACTACTTATCGTCTTTAAGCCTGTTTTCCCATAAAATAGCAGTTAGCATAACACTTATTAAAGATACTATTGACTTTGCATTGAATTATCCAATTATACAAGGACTCCTCAAGCCAGTTTCAAAAATAAAACCTTTTACTACTAAAAACATACATCTTAATATTAACAATTAAATCTTTAAAACATTTAGATGCTACTTTCTGAAAAGCATCCTAGTAACTATAGCAATCAAATATATAAAACGTGGTATGTCTTACCGCAGATGCTAACTGTTCTTCAGTCATGTCTTCTACAAAGACAGTCTTAGCTGAGGGCTCCTCAGGAAGAGCATCTGCTGACCCCATCATTAGTAGAGTCATTCCCTATTTTTAAAACAAAAAAATTTAATTTCATAAAGATGCTCAAATGATGTGTATATCCAATAAAAGAAAACAGGTACAAAAAAAAAAAAAAACACATACTGCATGCTTGTATTTGCCAGAAAAGGTAAATCTACAAAGACACCAAGTAGACTAGTGGTTGCTAGGGCTAAAAGGTAGAAAGAGGGAGTGACTTTTAACACACACCCATTTTTTCCAAGGGTGATGGAATGTTCTAAAATTAGACTGTAGTGAAAGTTATACAACTCTCATCAATATACTAAAAATTACTGAGTTATTAAAAAAAAAAAAAAATTCTGAGCTGGCTGCTTCAGACCAGAGGTCACCTGCTTATCTGCAAAGGGGAGTGAAGAAACCAGAATGGTGAAACATCTGTATCTTAATTGTGGTGGTGGTTACAGGACTCTATAAAATTAACCAAATTCAAACTGTACACTAAAATTTTACAGGTGAATTTTAATCCATATCAATCAATTATGCCTCAATGAAGCTAGGGGAAAAATAAACACTGTCATAAAGACAGGTGAGAATGGGGGCACCTGGGTGGCTCAGTGGTTAAACGCCCAACTTCAGCTCAGGTCATGATCTCACTGTCCGTAAGTTCAAACCCTGCATTCAGCTCTGTGCTGAAAGCTCAGAGCCTGGAGCCTGCTTCAGAGGCTGTGTCTCCCTCTCTCTCTGGCCCTCCCCTGCTCACACGGTCTCTCTCTCTCTCTCAAAAATAAACATTAAGACAGGTGAGAATGTTTACAATACTGGAGTGGAGGGAATTCTTGAAATGC